GTGCGCCGGTTTCGGCGGCGGCGGCGGCGGCGGCATAGGGTCCTCCTCGATATTTATGGGGGCCAAAGTCAAATTAGTGGCGTACGGCGTGCACCTTTTGATTAAGTATCTGTTAACTAAAGGTAATACTTAATAAAGTAACGGTGATTTAGTGGGGGCCAGGGACAAGCGGCATCGACCGATCGTTCGTTTTCCCATTCAAAATAAAAATTCGATATTTATGGGCCCGTGGAGGGGCCCCTATAAGAGCCGATGGGTCTCCAACTTCTCCTTCGATTCTCTGCCAATTCTCTTTTTCGGTTTACGACCATCCCTTTCGATCGTTTCTTTTCTTTTTTTTTTTTTTTTTTTTTTTTTAATTGTACTTACGTACTCCGAATTTACGAATTACTACAGTTATTTATATATATATATATCGAGAATCGTGAAAAGCAGGGGCATTTCTTTTTCCTCGTACAAAAAGAATTGTCTCGATGGTGGCATGGTGGAGGGAAGATATACGCATAAAATGAGCGCGTTACACGAGGGGGGGGGGTGGATATAGCCTCGAAATGTTTCAGTTTACGTTCGAAAGGACTTTATCTATAAATACATTGATTAATGGCCGTGTCGCCTCGCATTTCATGCGCTCTCTCTCTCTCTCTCTCTCTCTCGGGATTGCCGCGAGAATACGGTTGCCAGGCAATTTAAGACGCATCGAAAAACGCAACGGTCAGTTTGGGGGGCGAAATTTATGCTCGTCCGCCAATGTATCGCCACTGCTTTGCCCGGTCGTCAATAACCACCGTCCGCCGATACGATACACCTTCGGGGGGCCTCCTCTCGGCCTCCGAATATCCGATTGCAATTATTTCTTCTTGTTTGCATACTTGGCTCGAATCCATCCGGTTCGTTCCCAGAAGTCATTGATATTCGCGTAATCGGTGGAACCGTGATACCGAGATCTTATCGTCGCAGCCGAACACGACGTAAAACGCACAATCACCGTGCACCGAATATATCGCTTCTCTCTCTCTCTCTCTCTCTCTTTTTTTTTTTTAATTCGAACAAAATTAGTCGAAAAAAAATTACTCTAATGAAACGTGGATGGAGGCGAAAACGATGTTAAGACTCGGATCGACGCATTTTCTATTGAATTTAGGAGTGGATGGTCGCAAGCCAGGTTGGCCGAGCGGTCTAAGGCGCCAGACTTAAGTTCTGGTTCCCGATTGGGAGCGTGGGTTCGAACCCCACACCTGGCAAAATTGACGTTCCAAATTTCAACTTTCATTTATCGAGTATTTATCGAGGTCGGATGTCGAGGGAAGTCAAATTTTTGCGCGTAAATATTTGAAGGAGGAAAAAAAAAAAAAAAGAAAAACTAAAAATACTCGATTAATAATAATCTCTCTCGAGACTAAGAGAGACACGATACGAATTTTATTTTTCTCTCTCTCTCTCGATAATACGTCGAAAATATTCTTGCGTTTATCGAGGAATAAAAGATCTCGATAAATCGATCGATGAGCGAGGAGAGGGAGAGAGGAAATCGTGAAAGGGAGGAACGACGGAATGCACGAAACCTTCTCGAATCCGAACCTCTCCCCCCTCCTTCGAGTAACTCGAACGCGGCGAAACGAAATCTCATCCATCTTTCGTAAAGAAAATAGCGTGGTGCTTGCCACGACTGGGTTCGGTGTCCCATCCCGGGCGAACAAGGCGATCGTGAGGGGGAGGGGTGGTGTGCGGCTTAGGTGTATTTCAAGCCTCCGGCGATAAAGCATTTTTATGTCCTTCCTGGCTGTTTGATTTCGAGATTAGCCGGGAATTTTGGGCGAANCGCCAAAGGTAGAAATTCTCTTAAATTTCAAATTTATACCCGACTCGCTGTCATAATCTTGATTCTGACACCAGGCCGCGAAGCTATTTGTTCGCTCGCCCGTTCCGCGCCTCCATTGGTGGGCTTATTTGTCAACCTTGGGCTCGCGTGAAACCTCG